CCTACAAAAACATATTATAATTTTTTTTAAAAAATGAAATATTAAGTACATAATAAAATATAATTTCGTCCAAACATAATCTCATCAGTTTTACGTGTCCCTCGCGGTTCCATTTGACTCATTTTCACTGATCATTACGTACGTTAATGTAAAATGAAAAAGGTAAATATGGTGACCCATCACTCCGTTTAGTGCGAGAAATAAATTCTATTAATATATTTCAAGATGTGACTTGCATTACGAAATCAATGATTAGACAAAATAAAATAAGTCAAAATAACATTTATATTTCTATTCGAGATATGCTTTTCGTTAAGATCATACGAAAATAATAGATATATCTACGTGCAATATTTCTCTGTGTATCTCGAGATGCTGATTGGTGACAAATATAGATTTTTCACACACACAAAAAACGCAGTGAATATATTAAATATTAAACCATATGATATAATGATATGACCATTCATTCCATCAAGCAGTGATCTGTCCGAAAAAGACCACCACCACCACCAAGCAACGATCCATACGCATCATGACCATTTTTATCTCTTTCTTTTCACATTATATCATACTATTTTTTTTCTCTTTTTCACATCACATTATTATTATTATTATTGCTATCATCATCATTATTATTATTATTATTATTATTATTATTATTATTATTATTATTATAAACGTCTATATATACGACGGCAATTTGCATTCCCCTTCACCAGAGGAAAAAACAAAAACAAAAAAAAAAAAGATGCCGGAGAAAAATATATCCGTTGCCGGATTCTTGACCGTCTTTGTGTGGCTCGGTCTGGCAGCGGCCGGGGAAGAGGGGACGGGCGGAAACAACAATTATCTTCCAGTTTCAATAGCCAAAGCTAATTACCCCCACAACGGTGTCGATTTTCCGACCGGAAAACCCACCGGCAGATTCTCCAACGGCAAGAACGCCGCCGATGTTATCGGTAATAAACTTTTCCTGATGGATCATATGACGTGGCATGCCGTGATTGGCTCCACGATATGAGTCGTCTCAGTTTTCTTTTTTGTTGTTGAATTGAATTTATGATTATTTTTTCTTTCCAAAATTATGCGAGCAGCTGAGAAATTCGGAATACCTTCGCCTCCGCCGTATCTGTCACTGAAAAATACAGGGGACAAATCCGCCGGAGAATCCACCGGCGTCAACTTCGCCTCGGGCGGAGCGGGAATCTTCAACGGCTCCGACCAAACCCTTGTAAGTGTTGTCCGAAAACGGCGTCGTATTAATTCTTTAGTATGCTTATATATATACACATACATATGGTGTCAGGGCCAATCTATACCAATGTCTGAACAAGTGAACAATTACATATCCGTTCATCAAGAATCGGTGAATCAGCTCGGAGCATCCGCTGCTCAGATCCATTTTTCGAAATCGATATTCGTTATCGTCGTCGGAAGCAACGATCTCTTCGACTATTTCCGATCATTCGACCTCCAGAAGAACAATGATCCTCAACAGTACACGCAATTGATGGCTATGAAACTCAAAGAGCAACTAAAGGTATATATATATATAACCCACTAAATAGAATCACTCACTTACTCTTATTATTTCCATGCATTAATTAATTATCATCTATACAAGGCTACGTACTATATATAGTGTATTAGGATTTTAACCTAGCATTGTAATATTATAAATCAGTCGTGTTTTCAATGGTATCGATACATATAAACCTCACATAGTAATAGATAAATCTGTAAAAAAATACCAAATAAATATACGAATTTTAAAATTCTCTAATAAATACGTACTTTTGTATTAAACTATGATTTTTTTTAAACAACGAAAATAAATAATGAACTTTTAAATGATTACCCGAAACCGTCATATGAAATTAAGTTTCAAATACCACTGGTGGTTTTTGAGAATTTTTTAAAAGTTTAGGCTTTAATGTTGTAATTGAAAAAATTGGTCTCTTAAAAAAATTTAAAATTTGTGTATTTTTATGGGATTTTGTTTTTACAAAATTCTTATATTAAAATGTGATTTTCCCCTTACAATTCTATTGAATAAGTTTACGCGTAACAGAGGCTATCAGACTCAAAGAACAACTATGAAGGTGTAAACCACTAACGTCCATATAGAATATATATATACTCACTCTTATTTTCCATGCATTGTATAGTGTATTAGGGTTGTATAACCTAAGATAACTTTAATTATAAATGAATCTATGTTTAGAAAACGTTTCCCATATATGGAACAGAGGTTATACGAGAATGGGGCGAGGAAATTGCTGGTGGTGGGGATCGGGCAGATCGGATGCACGCCGGGGCAAAGGGCGAAGAGCTCGACGCCGCCGGAATGCAACGGAGAATCGAATAAGTGGTGCTCCATTTACAACGAGGCTCTCAAATCAATGTTACAAGAGTTGAAACAAGAGCTTCGTGGCTCCATAAGTTACTCTTATTTCGACAATTTCATGGCCATGCAAGATATCATCTCCGATCCCTCCGCTTACGGTACGCACGCCTTTTTTTATTATTAAAAAAACATTTTTATATAATTAGATGAATGCCCAACAAAGTAAACGTAAGATAATATCATGTTTTTAGGATTTTGACTTTTAAAAAAAATAAATAAAAAGCAAACAATACACACGATCCATATAGTATATAGCCTTTAATCTTAATCCTTTAATGGATTTTGATCCATAAAAAAATCAACTTAAGTTTTAAATTCAATAACCCAAATCATATGGATCATATGATTATATATTTCTTACTGTAATAAAATGGATATATACAGTGGCGGATCCACTTGTTAGAGAGTGGGGGCACGTGCCCCCAGTGAAATTAGAAAAAAATATAAATTGTTTTATAAATTTAACAAAAAAATTTTAAAATAGAGATTATGCCCCCGTTAAATAAAGTTTTTTTATTATATGTATATTAGTTGCCCCCAATTGAATTTCTGTCTGCGTCCGCCACTGGATATATATATATATGCGCGTTATGGTTTAACCTAAGATACTTTTTATTTGTGTGTGTTTCCTTGTTAGGTTTTACAAACGTGGAAGCTGCGTGTTGTGGACGCGGAAAGCTAAACGCCGACCTTCCATGTCTGCCGGTCGCCAAGTATTGTCCGGACAGGACACAGTATTTCTTCTGGGATCTGTACGGCCACCCGACAGAAGCCGCCGCTCGGAGTTTCGTCGGGCTTATGTTCACCGACGACACTCGAGTCGACAGTTAAACAGCTTGCCTCCTTATCATAATATATTTCATTACGCAATTTATTATACCTTTTTACTCTTCTTCGCAAATACTTCATTACAAAATTATGAGACACAAAAGCATAATAAAATCAAATAGACAGCCCCTATTTTGTATTAGTTTCTCGATAAATAATACTTACTTTATTTTTAATGACTATGTCAGATTCTCGTAATTTCTGTCCATGTATTTAATTGTAAATGTAACACAAAGACACTAATACTCCAAATAAAGCAGTGTCCAAACAAAACAAAAACAAAGAGAACGAACGAGTGAAAAAGAAACATGAAAATGGTAGGGATGGACGCAGTTGGGTCAAAGCGGCGGTCGCGGGAAATGGACATGGCAGAGGGCGTGGCCGTGGACCATATGACAATAAACGGAAGCAGGACGGTGAAAACATTATCTCGTTATGAATTCCACGAATTCTAAATATCAGTGAAAATTTTGTAAATTTCATTGATTTACGTTGGTTTTAAGTAGGGGTGTCAATTTTGCTCCGAGGTCCCGACCCAACCTAAAAATAACGGACTTCGGACCGGATCGAAAGCTTAATTTTTTCAAAAAAAAAAAATATATAAATTTCAAAGAACAATTTTAGCTCGGCCGAGACCGAATCTAAACCCGAAGTCTATAGGACTTCGGATTTGGTTATTTAGGCCCAAAAAAATTGGACCGGCTCCATCTAGACCCCTAGTCTTAAAGATAAAATGGTACCTTTACATAAAAATGAGCATAATTTTTATTGTAAATATATTAAAATACCATAGATATAAACACGATTTTTATATCTTTTCTGATATCCATGGATATAATTTGGAAAAAAGCAGAATGTAAACATATGGTCTAGGTTTTTAGTCTTGCCACTTGTGGCACCCATTTCCGATTTCATTGGTGGTCGGATGACCGTACGAGACCGAATATCCGATAAGGTCCCGCATCACGGCGTGAGGCCCTGGGAAATGGCAAATCTTCATTTAAACGATGTCGTTTTGGCATAGTTGGACAAACAAGCCCAGTGATTTCGCGGACGGCCCATAGTTACTGATGTCAGTACATTCGTTTTATTTGGGCTAATCATTAGATGGGCCTATAATGGGCCTTTTCTTCAGAATGACCTTGTTTTTCTGTCACCCAACTATCAATCAAAAGAAAAGGCCCATTATAGGCCCATCTAATGATTAGCCTAGAGAATAGAGTTCCCTCTGCCATGACATCATCAGTGCGTCGATTTTCTTGTTCATAGTACCACGCAATCAGAAAACGGCACGTGTACATTTCCTTACAAAACCCCAAGACTTGCCATACTCGCGGTGACTTGCCCGAAAGTCATTAGCTTTTTCCCGGTCCTCTCTCATCCCACTGATTCCGCAAACCCTAACTCTCTGATTCGGTGTTGCCTGCGGGTTCTCGATACAAGGTTTGATTTTTCATGTCGCTCTTTTCTTGATCCATTTTCCCTTTTTGTTAGCTTGAAAAATCCGGAATAGGAACGTAGGAATCTGAGCTGTGTTTTGTCCTGGAAGTTCTTGATGCTTTGGGCGTTAGACTTACCGGAATCTAGGTTTCTGATGCTCTGGAAATGTCGACGGGGGTGATTTCCAAGGGAGAAAAATACCCTTTTCTCTGTGTCGGAAAACGATTGCAAGTGTGGAATCTCATCGTGTTCTGTTGTGACTTTCTAATAATAACAGGGTTTCGGTACCATGATGTTGCGAGCTGTGGTGAGGAGAGCTGCGAGGAGAGGCTCTTCTGCTTCGGTTAGTGTTCCTCCTCGTTTATTTTTATTGGTTGTGTGATTGATTGTCTTGATTGAATGTCTGATAGTTCTAGCTCCCCGACCCGTTTGTATATGCCCCTTTCAGGCATTCGGGAAGTCATTGCAATCTCTTCGTGCCGCCTCTTCTGCCTCGAGCTTTCATTCTGTTTCGGCAATTGAGGTACATTCTATTCCTGGCGGTTGATTTTGGTTTTCATGCCCAGTTCTTCGTGAAATCCAGAATTCAGGATATCTTCTTCAGTTGTCAATTTTTAATCTTTTGTTGTACAAGACATGATAGTTTCATTTTGAAACATTTGAACAGACACCGTTGCATCGTGGTCGTGGAGGCTATGCTCATAGTTTTCATCACCTTGCTGTGCCAGGTATTCTTCTGCCTGTTCCTTTTTGGTGCGTTTCAGCTAGTTTTTAAGCTTGTCTCCTTGACAGCAGCTCCCATTTTCATTCCATGCAGGCGGTTCAGACAGCTTGAGGTTAGTAGTCTCAGTTTGTTTATTTACTCATAGGCTACAAGGCATAGGGTTTTTTCAAATTTCTTGCTAACTTTATGTCTTAAAAATATATGTTCATAATATATGCAGTGTATTCAGCAGTTGCCGAGATGTTTCCCTCAATAGACGGGTCAGGGATTTTTCATCTGGAAGCGGTATGATTGCTCTTCGCTTATACTCTGCCCATATGTCTATCATCCATTAAGTGTTGTTGTTCATTTGCTTAAATCCGGGTTTTGTTCTTTACTTTTATCATAGCTCTACTTGAATTTCTATGATTTTTTATATATTTCCTTGTTTATGATATTCAAGGCGATTCAGTGGAAGCTGTGGTACCTCACATGGGTGAATCTATCACCGATGGCACCCTAGCCAACTTTCTGAAGAGTATATTTTCCTTTTATATTATCCCTTTTCTGGTTCTTTTTATACTTGAATGGATATAAGTTATCATTCCATCGTTGTCCATGCAGAACCGGGCGATAGGGTAGAGGCTGATGAGCCTATTGCACAAGTCGAAACGGATAAGGTGTCAATTGCAAATTTTATTAAGCGTTTCGTTTTTTCCACATATATATTGTAGGTTTTGAGCTAGTCTTTCCTGACACTGTTGTTTGAATTGATCTTGGTGCATGCATTTAGGTGACCATAGATATCGTTAGCCCTGCACCTGGTGTTATCCAAGAGGTAACTTAAGATTTCTAAATGTATCATTTTATGTCTACTCCTTTTCTAACTCTCTTCATTCTTATTATGTATCGTTTTAACAGATGATTTTTTCTTCGCATTTAGTTTGTAGTGAAGGAAGGAGATACTGTAGAACCAGGAACAAAGGTTGCTATTATTTCGGAGTCCGGGGAAGCTGTGTCTCATGTTGCCCCCTCTGAAACGATACAAAAGAAAACAGCTCCCGAGTCATCTCCTATTCCGCAAAAGACCGACGATAAGCGGAAAGTTGAAAGTGCTCCTGTCCAAGAGAAGCCCAAAGCACCTAAACAGTCTGCTAAAGAACCTCAGCTGCCTCCTAAGGAGAGGGAGAGACGGGTAAGCGTACAGTGTCTCCTTTAATCCGACATCGTCTTGCTGAGAAAAGCTTTGCGGTATGTCGATAATTTTGATTATATGACGTCTAATGACTGTTGCAGGTTCCTATGACTAGACTTCGGAAGCGGGTTGCAACGAGACTGAAAGACTCTCAGAACACTTTCGCAATGCTGACAACCTTCAACGAAGTTGACATGTGGGTTATGACCTAGATTACCCTAGTTAATATGTCCGTTGTGTTATTCTATTCTTTTTGCTGCTAAGTGGTTCTGCCCTCACACAAACGAAATTTCCTTCCTTCAGGACTAACTTGATGAGCCTGCGGTCTCAGTACAAGGATGCATTCTACGAAAAACATGGAGTGAAGCTGGGTCTTATGTCGGGATTTGTTAAAGTATGCAATGACATGACATGTCAGAAGAATACCGACAAATGAATCGGTTGATATCACAGACGATTGATCTGTTTTTACTATCATTTCAGGGTGCTGTTAGCGCACTCCAGCACCAACCGGTCGTAAATGCAGTTATCGATGGGGATGATATCATATACAGAGACTACGTTGATATCAGTATCGCAGTCGGTACCTCTAAGGTTTGTCACCATTTTGTTGATAATCTTATCCACGACTGCGGAATCTTGCTGATGTTCTTACCGAGCTGCCATGCCTGTTCCTGTTCCAGGGCCTTGTCGTTCCAGTCATACGTGATGCTGATAAGATGAACTTTGCCGAGATAGAGAAGACGATAAACACACTGGCTAAGAAGGCAAACGAGGGAACCATATCGATAGACGAGATGGCCGGAGGATCATTCACCATCTCTAATGGCGGTGTTTATGGAAGTCTCTTGAGCACACCTATCATCAACCCTCCCCAGGTAAGATTTTCCCGATCCTACGTTCCCTTCCTGTTCTTTTTTTTACGAGCTATGATTCAGATCGAAAGAACCCGAGTCTCTGATTGGAGTCCCGGTCACTGATGCAGTCTGCTATATTGGGTATGCATTCGATCGTGACACGTCCAATGGTTGTGGGAGGAAGCATAGTCCCGAGGCCGATGATGTACGTTTCGCTCACTTACGATCATAGGCTCATCGACGGGAGAGAGGCCGTCTATTTCCTGCGTCGGATCAAGGACGTGGCCGAGGACCCGCAAAGGCTGCTTCTCGATGTATGATAGAGCCAGCCGTTGTCGAGGCCGTCTATTTACAGCTTCCTGGTACGACCATAACAACAGAACTGGAAATGTTTTTTTTCCTCAAGTTTCTTACAGTTGCAGAGTTTTTGCCGGCGGAGAAGCATCGGTGTAACACTGTTGAGTTTAACAGAGTATTGGCATAAAAGTTTCAATTTTTTTTTTACTTGGAAAAAACAACAATAACGACACTGGTTTTGTCTTGGATTGGATGATATTATATTTGCAATTCCATTAGGTTTAAAGGGCATTTTTATATAATAAAAAAAATGGTGTATGGAGTTTTTAGGATATGCTGTTACAGAAAATATGGACTGAAAGAGTTAAATACAATGAATGAGATATAACTGGATTTTATGATGAGTAAATCCCAAATCTTATAATATAAACTTTGTTTATATTTATATTGGAATGGGGTTCCATGGATTCACAGCCCCCATATTGTTTGTGTTTGTAATATTTGCATGAAGTCCAAGCAAAAATATTTTTTTTTTTAAAAATAAGAAAAATAAGAAACAAAGCCTTTACCAGACATTTTTTTTTTGTTTTTAAAGTGCCGCATCAAACTTGCTCCAATACTACCGATTCCGTGCCCATAGCGTCGAGCTCCGGAGATGGCATCTCCGGCGGTGGAGGCAACCGCCGCGACTGCTCTCCGCTCCGTCATGTTCAGGGTCCGACAGGCGGCGAGGCGCGTCGGAAGAGAGCCCGACCGAGTCAGGGTCGTCGCCGTCTCCAAGACCAAACCTGTCTCCCTTATCCGCCAAATCTACGACGCCGGTCACCGCTGCTTCGGCGAGAATTACGTCCAGGAAATTATCGACAAAGCTCCTCAGGTTCACATCCTTCGACACCCAATTTACTTCAGATTACGATCTTTGGCTTTTCGAGTTCTCTATTATTCCTTGATTTTCCCCGGGAATCAAGCTGCTCTGTTTCGAATTCTTGGATTAAAGATGAAATTTACATTTATTCAGTTCAAAATTTCAACGGGTTTCTTTCAAATTCTACTTGCCCCCAACCTCTGTGATAATTCCCATTTCTTTGAGCTTTGTTGTTAGCAAAATTTTCGTTTTCCCTTATGCAACAGCTTCCTGAAGATATAGAGTGGCAGTTCATAGGACACTTACAGAGCAACAAAGCTAAAACGCTTCTGGGTATGTCCTCTTTGATCTTGAATGAATCTCGTTTTTGCTTTAGTGAATTACATTCTTTGTTCATGGATTATGCTGAAGTGAAAGTTTTGAATCCAATGTTTGCAGCTGGAGTCCCAAACTTGGCAGTGGTTCAAGGTGTAGATAGCGATAAGGTAAAACTTGACCGATAATCAGTGTTTTGAATGGGTCCTTGTTGCCACTAGACTAGAAAAATTTCTGAGGAGATCGCAGAAATAACTGCTGCAATTAGATGTTCAGCTCATATACTGCCAACAAGTTGAGATTGGTCTGCCTTGAGAAACAGTAGATAAAATGTGTAGTCTTGTGATTCCTTCTCATATACGTCGTATAGATTTCAGTTTACCGAGATTGTACCAGATGAGTAAGAGAAGAAAACAGTGGGGGAACGAATACTATTGTTTTGGGGCAGTAATGCATGGGCCTTTGTTCAAGAAGAATCTACTTGATGTTACTTAAACTTGATCTACAGATCGCAAATAATCTTGACCGAGCTGTTTCAAATCTTGGAAGACACCCCTTAAGGGTTTTGGTCCAAGTAAACACCAGCGGAGAAGCATGTGAGTAGCACCAAGGTTCTGTTCTGTTCTGTTCTGTTCGATAGTATTTAACCTGTTCACCTCTTTGCCAGAAAGAAACCAATAGACTTGATTCCTCTTTCTCAGCTTCATTGGTTTTGCCGTGTATGTGAAATTGTTTGCAGCTAAATCTGGAATCGAACCTTCAAGTGTTGTGGAGCTTGCAAGACATGTGAAACTGCACTGTCCTAACCTCGTATTTTCTGGACTGATGACAATAGGCATGCCCGACTATACATCTACTCCAGAGAACTTCAGGGTATGCCACTACTGATTTTCTTCAGAACTTTCATGGTGATGCCATTGACTGATTTGCTTACCGATCTTTCTTTCTGTTGCCTTTGCACCTTACAGACATTATCGAACTGTAGAACTGAGGTCTGTAAGGATCTTGGAATTGCAGAGGATCAATGCGAACTGTCCATGGGCATGTCTGGTGATTTCGAGCAAGCGGTAGTTATTTCATCGTATTCTCACCATCACAGTCTATACATACATATTTGAGTATGCATTCTTTGCATCCATATATAACTCGGAAAGATCTAAACAAGAACACTGCTGGGTTAAGTTTTGGTGATTGAACCAGAGATACAAGTACAACACACAGAACTGTGGATTTTCTGTTGAAATTTCTTGTAAGAATCTTTGATATCTGATATTTATAACATTTCATGAACTGCAGATTGAGATGGGAAGTACTGTTGTGAGGATCGGTTCGACGATTTTCGGGCCAAGAGAGTATCCACAGAAGCACCCCAAGTAATATCCTCAAGGTACACATTTATTAGTATTTTGTGTAATTTGTCATATGCTACATATATTTACATTTCTCTGTTATAATTGGTCTTTGGATATTTTAATTGCAAAAAATTCTCGTAAATGTATCCTCAATTACATTTATTAATTTATCCTTTTCAACCTCAATAAAAATATTTTTATATTAATAGATAAATATATTTTAAATCGTGTCAGGAAACTGAAAAGTCTGTAAAATTTATAGGTTTTTGGTATGTTTTATTTAAGGTTTGTGAAGATTGGTATTTCGCCTTATTTTGTGAATTGGAAAACGATGAAATTGTATGCTTTTTAAGAGAGAGAGATGATGTATTAAAAGATGAGGCGTATATTATCCCAAAGGTCACCACCAACATTGAGGAACCGATGAATGATATATTCCTGTTTAGATCCCCGAATCTTGCATATGTTTTGTCTTCTTCGAACGGTCCGTATTTCGATATGCATGATAAAGAATGGTCTCTTTATGTTATAAAGTAAAGTGTTATATTTATTCAAGGCGTATTCGACATCTTTATGTTATAAAGTAAAGTGTTCATGTCATAAATTTGGTCTCTCTCGGATCCCACGTTCTGATTTCAAACGTGTTAAACGTTGTATGATTCATGACTCGATTCTTCTTGGCTTTGGATTCCTTGCATAATTTTGGTTGGGGATAAAAATAAAATAAATGATTTATTATAGAGGAATCGGTCCATATGAATTAGATATTTTACCAACATTATTTGTTGTATTCTCTGATGTTATTTTTTTTCTAGTTTTTTTTTGTTTTGAAAATTATATCTATTGGTTTTTTTATCTTATTTTCATTTAATTCCGATTTTTTATATTCATTTTTTGTTAAAAAATATTTATTAATTTTTAGTTATTTCAATTTAAAAGAATTAGCTCAAGTATGAGAAAAAATGAATGCGAATTTAACTGTTTTTCCAATTCACAAGAAATATTTCATTCCCATTGGACGGTCAACATTAATAAATCGCATTTGTAAACCCAAATTGGCCCAAGTGGTGGAGCCGATTTGCTCAATGACGGCCCCTCAAGAACATGGGTCTTCACGTCCGAAGCAGAGCCACAAATCCATCACGTGAATCTGTCTTCTTCTTTGGTTCACTCGCCTCTTATCTATTTAAAGCGATCAGATCCCCCCATACTCTCTCCAAGTTTTTTTGAAAGATTCCAAGCATATTTCTGCTTCTCGGATGAAACCCACCTCGAAAGATCTCTCCTTTCCCTGAAATTTTCGATTTTTCTTTCCGTGAGGAATCCGCTGTTTCTGGTGTTGGGTCGTCCGTATTCCTTCCCGGCGTCGTCTTCTTTGATCGTAAATTTGGGGAGGAACAGTTCGTCGGCATCACGGCTATATACGGGATAATCCGGGCACTCAGCTTTCATGTCCGTGGTGTACGACGCAAGGGTTGCTTGATCGAGACCAACCCTTCGCCGCACGGCGGACGTGGAGCTCTGCCGTCTGAAGGCGGCAGCCCTTCCGATCTCCTCTTCCTAGCCGGCGGCGGCACCACCACCACTACCGCCTTTTTCTTTTTCTATTAGGCTTAGTTCTTTTGGGTGTGGAGTTTTCTCTACTGTTTGTTAGTCTACGTTTTTCTGGGGTTGTGATTTCTCTTCGAATTTGAGAATGCTGAAGATCAAGAGGGTTCCGACCGTTGTGTCGAACTACCAGAAGGACGAGGCGGCGGATGAGGTTGTCCGCGGCGGCGGCGGCTGTGGACGGAATTGCCTTGGCAAGTGCTGCATCGACGGTACGTGTCAAAAGCTGCTACTTTCCCTCAGAATTTCTTTGTACGAACTAAGAAAATTCACTTGTCTGGTTCATTACACCTAAGATGTTTGCGTATATCCGATCAGGGGCAAGGCTTCCGTTGTATGCCTGCAAGAAGCTGGACAAAGTTGTCGCCTCTGAGAAGCCTGCTCTTGTCCGTGAGCCTCCTGTGGCGTTTCTCGAGTCCCTCGTTCTCGCAGAGGTAAGCGTAGATACATAATAACTGATGTGTGTATTGATGGTGACAATAGTTATCGTGATTACGGCTTCTGTTTCTTTGATGTTAAACTGATTTACCAATTCTTGCGTCTGTAGTGGGAGGATCGGTTCCAAAGAGGACTTTTCCGCTATGACGTAACCGCCTGTGAAACCAAGGCATTGTCCCTTTCCTTACTTCTCTTGTTGTTTTCTCTCTGGTGGATTTGCTTTGAGCCAATCTGGTGATGTTTGTGCGGAGGATCGAATTGGGTTTTGGCATTGTTACTTAGAGTATCTCTCTTGTTACTGATGATGGTTTAGGTTATCCCGGGAAAATACGGATTCATTGCTCAGCTGAACGAAGGCCGTCACCTCAAGAAGAGGCCAACCGAGTTTCGGGTTGATAAGGTGCTCCAGCCTTTTGATGGGAGCAAATTTAACTTCACTAAAGTTGGTCAAGAAGAGGTGCTCTTCCAGTTCGAAGCTAGTGAAGATGGTGAAGCTCAGTTCTTTCCAAGCATGCTTCTAGATGCTGACAACTCTCCCAATGTCGTTGCCATCAACGTAAAGAAAAAACCCTTTTTGCCTCTTGCCATAAAGTTCCTTCCTTTTGTTTACTCGACTCAAATGTATTTACTGTGTAGGGGGGATTCGTTGTTTTCCTGTTCGGGGGTTTTACAGGTTAGTCCAATTGAGTATGGCCATGTGTTGCTGATCCCTAAGGTTTTCGAGTGCTTGCCTCAGAAGATCGATCATCAAAGTTTTCTACTTGCCCTTCACATGGCTGCCGAGATGGGCAATCCGTACTTCCGACTTGGTTACAACAGCTTAGGAGCATTTGCCACCATCAACCATCTTCATTTTCAGGTTTAATGGCAACCTGAGCATCGCCCTTTCCCCGTCTATGCTTAGATCGGTTATCTGTGACACTGATGGCGATTTCCTTGGAAACAGGCTTACTATTTGGCCATGCCCTTCCCAATCGAGAAAGCTCCAACCAAGAAGATCACTACCACTGAGACTAGTGTTAAAATCTCAAAACTTCTAAGTTTCCCAGTCAGAGGTCTTCTCTTTGAAGCTGGAAACACCGTGCAAAACCTATCTGATACCGTGTCAGATGCCTGCATTTGCCTCCAGAACAACAACATTCCTTTCAACATTCTCATTTCTGATTGTGGAAAGCGGATCTTTCTGCTGCCTCAGGTATGTAAGAATGAAAAACCGGTTTCTATTTCGTGATGGAGAACCACTGTTCTATATCGAGATTTGAGATGGTAAATGATCTGTCTGTGATTGTGGAATGCAGTGTTACGCGGAGAAACAGGCTCTAGGGGAAGTAAGTTCTGAGCTTTTGGACACACAAGTGAACCCTGCTGTCTGGGAGATAAGCGGCCACATGGTGCTGAAGAGGAAGAAGGATTATGAAGAAGCATCAGAGGAGAATGCTTGGAGACTTCTCGCTGAAGTCTCTCTCTCCGAGGAAAGGTTCGAGGAAGTGACCGCTCTGATCTTCGAGGCCATTGGTGAGGGTGGCCATGAACAGAACAGAGGAGCAATGATTGATCACCAGGACAAGGCGGACACTGCCGATGTGGATGTGATCAACGAGAAAAGTGTCCAAACCCACACTGGTCGGATTGTGAAAGGGACCGCATCCGAATGCCTTGTCCTTCAGTGAAGGGCATGGAGTGTTCGGCTGTGAGTCCAGTGTCTGTGTCTGCACTGGCAGAATCTAAAGCCTAAATAAGCAAACTCGTTTCAGTTGCTCTGTTAGGTGCCAGCTTGAAGCTTGTTCTTATCTATGATGTTCTCGGTAATGTATTGTTTCTTTGTGAAACAAATCAGTAGATTGGTGCATGTAATGATGATGACAAGAATCCACCATGTTGGTAAATTTTAACATTTCAGAGCTAAGCTTCTAACGGCAGAGAGTAAGATTGCTAAGTTCAAAACCCTCTTCTGAGTCCACCGTATAATAAAACAACCATGGCTGAAGCGTTTCTGCATTCATAAGGTCTGAATCTTGATGATCTCATCCACTTCAGCATTCTTGCACGATCCAGTTCAGAGTTCTAAAGCCTGAAACTTGGAAAATCTCCAACATGAAACACGTGTGTTACATATTTTATCAGTTGACAGAAGCAGGGGATCATGTTCTCTCTTTCTGCTTTTCTGTTTAAGACAGCACAAGATCTGGAGCTCATAATACAGGAGGGGGCTTTGGTCTGAGATTTCCAGGTTCCGGTTTGAACACACAGCTTTTACTCCTAGTAGGTAGGGAAGCTCGGATCAACGTCTTCAGCCCATGACTCCAGACCTCCGATGATGTCCTTAGCCGAATCAAAATCCGCTTTCCGGAGACATTCCACGGCTCTCTGTGAATCGTTTCCCCATCTGCAAACCACATAGAGACTAGGACTGATGCCAGAACCGGTCTTAACCTCGGCATCTGCCTTTCCTTTCAGGGCTGAAGTAAGCTCATGTAACCGATCCTTTAAGTTTGCAAGAGGGATGTTGAGCGAATCCGGAAGAGAGACAATCTTGAAGTGATGGGAGGGTCGAACATCGAGTAGTACGTGTGGATCGCCTTTCTCAACAATCTCTTTGAACTCCTTACTGCTGATTCTTGACTCTGCAGGAAGCATGTTTAACTTCAAAGGTCCCTGCCATGAAAGTGATGTAGGTAAAGATATATATATTCTAGAGAACGAGTGAAAGCAGAAATACAGCCGCAATACAGAAAAGTCCACACATGCAAGTCGAGATTCGAGAGAGGCGAGATCCGAGAAAAGTACCGCAAATAAGGGAATTTGGGTGAACTCTGAATAGTCGAAATGCTTGAAACACAGCTCATCGAAAGTAGAATTCTCTCCACAAACTGTACACTGGGATGACCGGCCTCTAATCTTGACCTGTACAGCGCAATTCTTGATAAGTTGATACCGAGAGGAATTCGACCAGGATAGTATCGGTGCTAACTAACACGAACAGTGACGCATAAATGGAAGAAAGACAACCCTAAAACTTACAACACGGATCCTTACAGACAACGCATCAAAAAGAAGCATTCGTCCAGAGAGCGGCTCACCAATACCACTCGCTATTTTGATTGCCTCAAGTGCTTGGAGAGTACCGATAACTCCAGGAACTGAAGAAAGGAAAAGAGTAAACTCTTAAGTACATGATAGTCTTTTCTTCTAGATGCCCAAGATTACAAATGTACAAGTAGTTCTAATGAAAAAAAAAAATCCACCATTTATGTACCTACTCCAAGAACTCCACTATCAGAACATCTTTGGCAAGCTGTTGAAGGCGGAGGAGTGGGAAATAGGCACCTGTAACATGGGCTTCCATCGTAATTATAGACTGTAAGCTGTATATGATAAAACAGTGACACATTTAGTGTTTTTTCATGAACTGCTTAACATCTATAAAAGCATAAGACAACAAGTGCATAGCCATGTTATGTTATTTACCTGCCCTTCCATTCCAAGAGCCGCACCCGACACCAGAGGCTGCATATAGAATGTTAAGACGCATCAACACTTCTCGCAACTTAACGTGTAATAAGCAGACAGGTAATATTCTATACGAAAACTGAAAGAGTCATTGACAAAATGGAAGATGGAAATTCTAACTGTAAGTAGTCAAGTTTTACAGAGAGTAAAATGTGAATAACGAGGGATTAGATGCTGTTTTACCTTTCCTAAGAGCACACAGCAATCGCTGATCATGTAACGGCTTGGAGGATTGTCGGTTGCATCTACAATGATATCATATCTATGAAAATTGAAGCAGTCATCGAAACAATTAACATTCAATGCTTGATTTGAGAAGGGTGAAACTGAAAGAGCATTTTTGCAATAAAGGATACTGGCTGAAGACTTCCAAAGCGTTGGATGTACGAAGAGCGTCCACATGTTCAACAATTTTAATTGTAGAGTTTACGCTGGAAAGTCACCACATTAGTCGAGAGATTCAGTTATCAGAAATGTGGCATGATAAGATCATTTTGCAGGAGAGCAGTTGAGGTGAGGACAGTTGTTATACTTAAATATTTTAAACTGCAGTATTTGGACTTACGAGCGACATGCAGCAGCAGCAGATCTTACTTTGGGCAGACCGATAAATGGTTCAGTGTGAATAACCTGCACGATAATCAAACAAGAGGAAGAAGTCAGCAAATGATAATATGGAGCAACTAATGAAAATATCAAATGCACAAAGATCCAAGAAAAGGAAGATGGAAATGGAAACGGAGATGATAGAAAAATCTAAAACTTCTACGGTTCTACCTGCCTGTGCATATTATTGAGCTCCACCACATCATGATCAATAATACCCAATCGCCCTTGAGGAATAATCAAGAGGAAGATCAGAATATCTTTATCGATGGAAAGACCAGTTGGTTGGTTCGGTAAAGAAAGCTAACAGACTCGATGATGTGATGTGAGAATCTGAAATCTTACCAACACCGCATGCTGCAAGATACAATAAGGCTGGTGAACCCAGCCCTCCAGCTCCAACAACTAATACTGAAGACTTCAAGAGATTTGACTGCCCTAAAATCAGACATATAACATATCACGGATCAGTGGAGGACAGTGGTCTGAGAAGCACAGAATCCAACCAAGTAAACAGAAACACTGATATACTTCATCAACAAACTCCATTAGGTGTTCTTTTCCCTGATCAATTTCCAAAACCTATGGGTAGAGGCGAGACAGAACAATGGATAGATTGTCTCTACACATAACATATAACGAAATCAAATTGAAAACTTCTTTCTCAAGCCCAAGCTTAAGACAAACTTACCCAAACAATATTGTATCTTCTTAGCTATCAAGTTATCAACAATATTACAAATGAGGTCAAACCCATCACGAGGCTGTTGACTTCAAACCTTCAAACTCAAGACTATGGGCCCCATTAAGCAATGAGTGTGAATGTGAAGCTCATGCATCAAAGACGGAGACTTTGGCAACTTAAAACAAGGATCACGAAATGCGAAAGAAAAGGAACGCTTTTTATCCATTACCGACCAAACCCATCAGTTAGTTTCGGTTCGTAACAGGAAAAGACTGTTCCTTTTTCAAAATTTCACCGGAACAAAATCAAGCCTCTCAAGAGCATAAGAATTGGCTGAATTTGCAAACGTCCGTCGATTAATACCTTGAACTCCAAAGGATGGGAGCAACAAGTGACGACTGTAACGGTAAATCTGGTCCGGAGACAACCCGTGACCGAGCTCGGGATATGACGCCGGCAACGTGGAACGACAGTAGCCGTTGGATACAGCGTCCGCCACCGTGTTCTCTTGGAGCTGGGCTTCGAGAGCCGAAATCCGACGCTCCATATCTGCCTTTCTTGCCTTTAACTGCTCCAGCTCTCGACTGATTCCCGACAAGTCTCCGGTCCTGGTCTCCATTCCGGAAGCTTTGGGGAGAGAGAGAGAGAGAGAGAGAGAGAGAGAAGAGAGAGAGAGAGAGACCTTAATCCGGTTACGCCCTCTGAATGATACTGACGATCAGGGTGATTTTGTTCGTTTTACGCATGACAAAATCTAAACGGCAAGATGGTGACTAGTGGAAGAAACAAACGACACGATGTTTTACCTGCCAACACAAAAAAACCGTTATGAATGAATAGAATAATTCTTCAGATCCTCTGAACGTGCCAGCGGGTTTCTCTTGGGCCTAAATCGGATCTATCCCCAGTTTTGAAGTGTAGCATAAAATAAAAGTGGGTACAGATGAAACTCTTCCTCCGCCATTGACGGCTCTGGAGCTTTCCGCTCAAGATTACAGCTTTTATTGGGTGAGAACTTCGTACACGCACTCTCTCTGTTTGCCTCCCTCCGTGTCGTTATCGTTCTCAGCCGATGTGCTCGTCTTACCTCTTGCTTGCTATGATGATTTATAGTTTTTCTGCAAGTTGACTCCTTCGGTTCCCCTGCGAAATGGATTATAGGCTTATAGCATTAATTTGATAGAAGAACTAATTTCTGGGTTTCTCAGTTTCTATTGCGGTTTAGTGCGTGGAGGGTTTGGTTGAATGTATATTTTAAAAGAACATGCCTTTAAGGTGTTCGATAAAATGCCAGTGAGAAAAGCATTCAGTATCCTGTGACCATGGATTCATTGTGTTCATGTGTTTTATCTGACATTCTTTTGTGTATATGCATATTCGAATGTGAAAACTAAATCCGTTTTCTTGTTTCTCCCATGTCATAATTATCATGTTTTGGTATGATGTCAGAGGATACTGGCAATTGTTATATTGGGAAAAAGGATGAGTGGGTTTAGAGCATTCAAAGCAAAGGTGTCAATTGAGTGGAGCCCAAACTTATACATAACCCTTGTGAGGGGAATTCCTGGAACCAGGCAGCTTCACAGGCGAACCCTCGAGGCCATGGGTCTCCGCAAATGCAATCGTACCGTTATGCATTCAAACACTCCATCCATTAGGGGAATGATTCAACAGGTTCTGTTTTTTGTCGGTTCTCTCCTTTACCCCATCATTATTCCTCTTATGAAAGAGTTGGACTCAACTCAATAGAACAGTGTGGTTAATGGATATGTATATATGCAAAGCAGGTTAAGAGGTTGGTCGTTGTTGAAACAGAAGAGATGTACAAGGCTCGCAAAGAGGCAGAGGCTAATCACAAAGCACAACGCCCGCCTCTGGTTTTCAATCACACATTCTCAGCAAGTTAAGCCTTAATTCATCAGATCAAGAACCCATTTTCCATGCAAGACTTGAGCTTTTTGCTTTAAAGTTCAAACCAATGTGTATGGGTCTGTGGGAAGTTCATGATTATCTTCTAGAAACTTAGTATTCATAAGAGGTTTGGCAATATATGTTGGTTTCGCTTTTGTGTTCCAAAGGACCTGACAACAAGTTTAATAAAGACTCTAATTATAACAATAGCGTTTCAGCAGCAAGCGAATACCATAACGATACACAAAGGCAGATGACAGCCACCAAAAGGATTATACAGTGTGAGATCTGTAGTTCGAATGACAAAAGCCACATAAAACAGACATCTCCTTTAATATCACCACCCACCAGAAACATAGAAGAACCCTAGAAATTAGAATTGCCATTGATCAGGCCACAGAACCTCCGGTCTGGTGAAGCATGGCATCGATCTCATCACCATCTTCCATCTCCAGCTGTAGTTGTATTTGGGTCAGCGACACCACCCAACTTGAAATTGTAAGAGAAAACAGTGAATGGCGGTGGAATCAAGAGTTATACCTCGTCGGGAGTTTGCTCCCCGCGGAGACGACGCCCGTCAAACAAGAAAGCAATTGAGTTGATGTCCACAGACTGTCGGTCACAGTAGGCATTCATCAGCTTCTTCAGTTGAGTACTTCTCTTGATCCTGAAGAACACTTCATTGCCATCCTACACATCAAAATCGGATTCGATCCCGTCTTTATACATCGATGTTCATTACATATGGCCCAGTAGCCTTTGTTAACATCGTTGTTATGCCCGTATCAAAGAGGAGAAGAGCACAAACCACAAACCAAAAACTTATAAACGAAATCACTTGCCCATGACACAGCCTATCTTCAAAATGGGAAGAGGGCTCAATTTTATGCACAATCATTACGAGATTTCTAATGATAGTCTCTTCGTAAGTATGAACACAACCCACTTGACACAAAGGTCTCAATTCTTTTTCAGGATCTACCAACTCAATGCCAGACATTCGTCTCAATGCCACTGACTTCAGAAATTTGCCATACATGAAACAGGTTAAACTGACATGGATTACAAGCAAAATTGAAGTGTCAACCTGTTCGTTTTAGCTTCTTCCACAAATGCTTTCAATTTAAGGAACCAAATATACCCCTATATGCCAATTAAACAATGATTACTGTTCTATATACCAGTTCTTGTCCATCGAACAAAAAAACACACACAACATTTCCTTTGCATATCCGGGTTAAAAAACGAAACAACTAAATCTCAACGTAAAGGCAGAGAAAACAAACCTAGAATTCGAACAACAAAGACGCAACCAAATTAGAAACCCAAATCGAAACCACCGCAAACCCTTAATCAGAAAACAATCGCGCACGAGCACGATTTGAGAAGAGCAAGGAGAGAGAGAGATACCTGGCCTTTGACCTTGAGATTAATATGAGCACCCGAGTCGCCGGGCTTCTTGTCTTCTTCCTGGTTAACCGACATCAGAGCTAGCTAGATTCTTCGCCGGGAAACGACGATCTGAGGAACCAAGTGGGCGGAGTGAGAAATTCGCGCAATCGGAGAGGCGGCTCCGAATCGAGAGTGAAGAAGCTGAAAGATTTTGTGCTCTTTCCTCGCCCTGGACGAATCCGATTCCACTACTTTTAGTGAGCGGAATCGCGGGACTCCTAACGAACGGCTCACATTCTTTTCGCGGTCTTCAATCCAACGGCGGAGAAAGAGCACCTTATTCTGGCCTAAACGACGTCGTCGAAGGACAAAAGAAGGCATAAATGGGCCGACCTTATGTTATGTTTGGGCTTACATTGGGCTGTTAGCTCATATTTAAGTTCTCATAAAGCGAATCGAAGAAAGAATAATTATATTTGAATTATAAACCAAACTAAATATAAAATCATAACAGATCAAATAAAAATAGATATTTATGAATAAAAACCAAATATCAAAACGAACCACACCAGAATTCAAAGGCGAAACTCGATATAAAAAAAATCAAATAAGTTTTTAGAAACAAAAAAAAACTGAATAAAAAAATAACCAACTTGTAAATCATGATGACATCGGTGAAACTTCGAAAAAGTTCAAAAACCATAATTCTTTATTGGAATCAATATTACAAGCTTTTCAAACAGAACTAATTTTTCTCAAATTACCATAAATGCTAAAGCGATCCACAAATACGGTCTCATTCAAGGCATGAACATTATTTTTTTTGTTAATATGTAAGTCGTTTTTCCATTACCAAAAAAAATATATGTAAGTCGGTATATACATTTTTTTTGTTATCGAAAAACCCAACTGTTATCCTTCGAACGCGTTGATTGGATAAATCTCGTCGACGTGCATGACTCCGTAATATACACATGAAAGATAAATTAATCGTAACTGATGAACGACTGACGGGTGATTAAAGAGTCGAACTCCCAACCTCTCGGACGATAGACGAATTCGTCTGTATATACATCTGTTATTAATTATTATAGCTTAAAGATAAAATGTACGTATCCACGGATACAACCACTCGAACTAAAATTTCCTTGGTGGATAAGAATAATATCATTATATATAGACGGAGGTTCATATCTCGAAGTCTATGTGTTAGGTAAAAACAAGTCAATATATATATATATATATATACACATATCGATGGATGGATGTGTGTGTATATATATGTGTATATATATAATGGACAGTGGATCCATGTTTTCTGTTTGTACACACTTTTGCCGACTTCAAGACTACGAGAGAATGACCGAATCAGAGACGTACTGTATCGACAAATCATATAAATGCACCTTAAAAAAACTATATATTTATAAACTTGTAAAATAATATCCTCATATAGAAACCATAATTTTTGCCAATGATCATCGTTTTATTTCTAATATAAATAATCTAAAGTATTTATATCATAATTTGAAAACGAAATCAATCATATGATTCGAAAATATACACTCTTTTTTCAAATTTTAAACATTATCTAAATTTGATTGGATAACATTAATTTTTTAAGCGAATTAAACCATTGAATATGGTGTATAAATAATTGAAACAATCAAATAGAAACAAGAAATTAGAAAAATAGAATCGTATGATATGATTATTATGTTACTCGCAACGCGAGAACGTTGAGACCGAGTGCCGTGACACGGCGTCATCTAAAGTCAAACGTTGTTGCATCATGTTTTCCTTTTGGGAGGTCACCAAATATCTGACGTATATATTATATAATATACACATATGCATGTATATATATATTGCATACACAATAAGACGGATATAATATAAAGTAAAAATAATGATGAAATAATGTCAAACCCAGGTTATCATTGTCAGCATCAACGGACATTATCGCGTCAATTTTTCAATAATAATAATATATCATAAAAAAAATACATATATACAAAGGTATATATGGTTTTCTTATCAGATTAAAACTATTTATATATACAGATATCAAATAATATAAACCCCAAATCTTATTATATCATTCACAAAACAATCACATATCCATTTCCATATTTAATAAATAATTACAAAATTTAAACGATCCATAACCCGAATTAGGCGAGGCATAGAGCCAAAAAAAAGAGATGATAAGATATAGTAATAATAATAATAGTAATGAGGTGGATTTTTTTTAATAATAATAATAGTCTATATAGAATATAATAATTGATTACGTGAAAAAGGACAAAAACTCTCTGGGAATCTCGAAATGATTGGAACAGGAAAACGAGACGTTAGAAAAACAGGGAGCCCCTAACGTTCGGATTGAGGAGGAGCTCTCACGGCACATGTCCCCATTCATTTACGGTAGATGGTCCGTCATCTCACGACTAACAAATTAAACAAATAAATCGACCCTCACATTACACATTTAATTTCAAATATATTTCTACATTGCCAACCATCGTTTGTAATCGTGGGTATTTAATTAAAATACTTAAATACCATATTAAAGTATCATAAAAATATTTACTGAGATTTCTTTTTATTGAATGATCATACATATACATAATACATGTATACATATGTATAAATAAAAAATTTATTAAGGTTTGAAGGTCGAATAAATTTCACATGAAAGATTGCAGTATTAAACGATCTCAAGTCTCTGGCAACACAGGACACGAGACAGCATCTGATTCAGAATCGTACGATTGAAACGGTCAAATTGGAAATTAAATGCTAAAAATAAACAAACAAAAAAAAGTTACTCTCCGACATATAATCGATTGAACAAACCTACAGTTATTTCTCTACTTCTGTTCCCAACATCACCATACGCGGGTCCCACCCCTACCCCACTCCCCCACCCTCCCCTATAAATACGAGGCTCGATCTTCTTCCTCGCCGGAAAATAGCCTCCTTCTCTCTCTAAAACGGCATACTTGCCAGCGTTTCAAGCTCTGTTTTTTCTCAACATCAGAGCTAACATGGCTACGTCCTTGTTCTCTTCCCTTCTCTTCCTCTTCTCATTCATTCCATTATCCATTGCAGGTTAATCTTGATAACTCTTTTTCGCGTATAATCGTGTTGTTTACGTTTTTTTGTTTCTCTTTGTGTGTGTGTGTATATATATACACGTGTATACATGTTGATCTCTGATGGATTTGTCATTTGGTACTCTGTTTTGTTCAGATTCTGGATCTGTCGGTATAAACTATGGTCGGATCGCGGACAACCTTCCGACGCCGGAGAAGGTGGTGGAGCTTCTGAAAACACAGGGCATCCACAGAGTCAAGCTCTACGACACAGACAAGACCGTTTTAACGGCGCTCGCAAACTCCAGCATCAAAGTCGTCGTTGCTCTTCCCAACGAGCTCCTCTCTTCCGCCGCCGCCGATCAGTCCTTCGCCGACAAATGGGTCGAAGCCAACATCACCAAATATTATCCTTCGACGGAGATCGAAGCCATCGCCGTCGGTAACGAGGTTTTCGTCGATCCCAACAACACGACCGAGTTTCTCGTCCAGGCCATGAAGAACGTCCACAGCTCTTTGGTGAAATACGATCTCGACCGTTCGATCAAGGTCTCGTCGCCCATAGCTCTTAGCTCGCTGGCAAGCTCGTACCCGCCGTCCGCCGGTTCGTTCAAATCGGATTTGGTCGAACCGGTTATCAAACCGATGCTCGATCTCTTCCGCCAAACGTCGTCGTATCTTATGGTAAACGCCTACCCGTTCTTCGCGTACGCTGGGAACGCCGAAAAGATCTCGTTAGATTACGCTCTGTTCAGGGAGAATCCCGGAAGTGTAGATTCCGGTAATGGATTGAAGTATAACAGCCTGTTCGAAGCCCAGATCGACGCCGTTTTCGCCGCCATGTCAGCAATCGGATACGACGACGTTAAGTTAACGGTAACGGAGACTGGATGGCCGTCTGCCGGAGACGAGAACGAGGTCGGCGCTGGAGCGGCCAACGCGGCGGCGTATAACGGGAATTTAATCAAGAGGGTGTTAACGGGGAACGGAACGCCGTTAAGGCCGAAGGACCCACTTAACGTCTACTTGTTCGCGCTGTTTAACGAGAACCAGAAACCTGGTCCCACGTCGGAGAGAAACTACGGGCTGTTTTACCCTAGCGAGGAGAAGGTGTACGACGTTCCGTTGGGGATGGCGGGAGCCGGGTCCACGCCGGTCAACGAGAGCAAGGCGCAGGTTCCGACGACGGAGCGTGGCGTCCAATCGCGGACGTGGTGCGTTGCGAACGGGAAGTTGGGGGAGGAGAAGCTGCAGAAGGCGCTCGATTACGCCTGCGGCGAAGGAGGGGCTGACTGCCGTCCGATTCAACCGGGTGCCACGTGTTACGATCCTAACACGTTGGAGGCCCACGCATCGTACGCTTTCAACAGTTACTATCAGAAGAACGCACGTGGAGTCGGCACGTGTGACTTTGGTGGTTCGGCGTACGTGGTCACGCAACCTCCGAGTACGTATATTTTTTCCGACCACGTATTCTAACGTATTAATGTATTTAAGCCATTTTAAATGTGAAATTTATTATAAAATCTAATTAACGTTAACTTTGTTTTGGATCTTTGTGATAATAGGATTCGGGAAGTGCGAGTTTCCGACGGGACACTGAGTCGGATGACGAGGAATCTGGCGAATTTCATTGGCATTTATTTTTTCCCTGGTAGATACGTGTTTAGGTGTATAATATATATATATATATATATATATATTATATATATTGTTATTGTCACTGTTTTGTCATATGTATTGACAGGACAGAATCTTGTTAGACGCCAGTTTGTAACAAGATGGGTTTTTGAGTGATTGTGCTTCCTAATTGTCATATGTATGTCCGTACAGATTTTTTTTTAAACATAAGGGACGTAATTTAGAATCTTATGGTCAGCGGCGTCAATGTCAGGTATGGCCGTAAAATTGATCATGTACTGAAGTAATCCGCACGTAACAAGACTTTAGCTTCAAAAGAGACATTGTTGAGTTTGCCAATGGGATTGTCGCCATTGTTACTGGCAGCTGCTTCTTATTCTTCTGGTTAAAGACAAAAAAGGGTTTTAGGGTTTTAAGGATTTGGCTTGACCAACCTCAAAACGACACCGTTTTGTAAAACTCGCTTTTTTCTTAAAGATAAACCAACAGAACAAAAAATAAAGCAGCAGCAAAAGCATTATTCACCATAGGGGATGGAAAATGGAGTGTTCTTCCAAAAGATTATTTCATCAACATTACAACCTGCAAGTCTTTGGTATGAGAAAGGTGAGACTCATCTGTCTGGAAAATGAATGAGGTGAAATACACACAAAAAATGCAATGGTGATGAAGCCAATGAGGCCAAAAACACGGCGGCGAACATAAAACCGAAATGCTGAAGATACACATAAATGCCGCCCGGTCTTTACCTGAATTTGCTGATATACTTTCTAGTTTGCGATCATTGTCTGAAGCAGAGGAGATTCTTACTCTCCCTCGTTTAGGATTGGGACAATGAGAGGCTTCATCTGTGCAAGATATACAATCGCCCACCTATCACAGTGGAAAACCAGAGCTTATATATGAGGTTAATCAACGACCAAACCCTATAACTTCATGAATTCTTCCGCACTGAGGGTATAGGCGACAGAAAAGAGTGTATCAAGAATGAACTTACATCATCCAACAGCAGACTGTCGCCGTAATAACCAAGGTAAGATGAAGCCTGTATCATCAAAGGAACAATGCTTAGTTAGATATATGATCGGAAAAATTCGGTCCTAGTGAACCAGTAGCCGGGGATAAGAGAGTTGAAGGAAGAGACAGCATCATGAACAATCTAACAATAGAGGAAATGCGAATCCCAAGTGACAGTCGTAAGAGGAAAGAATCCCCAAGTTGTGATCATACTACTTTCCGAAACAAGCCCTTTGATACTTCCAACAAAGAACCAATTACACAACTTTTGGAGATTACTCAAAATTCAAACGAACCATCGTAACTCATTTCGATTTCTGAATTCTAAGAGCAAGAGGACGATTATTCAATCGATGGCAGAGAGATCGAAGAAAGTGATACCCCAAAAGATCAAATCCCTAAAATCTAGTAGAGAATCCCCCCCGAATTCCATTGATGTGGCGAACGAACTAGCGTATGGGAAAGCCCCGAAAGAAAAGAAAATGAACTTAGGGAAGCATACAGATTCGTGGAGGGGCCTCTGTTGCAGCAGATCCTAGTGCATAGCGAAGCGATGATCCCGACAACGACGAAGATTAGAGTCGTCACAAGGAAACCCATGTTCGGTCCTGGTCCGAGGGAGATTCCTGCGACGAGAATTATGAGCGAGTTAGGGTCCAGACAGGAAAATCTCAAAGCGATCGGAACAGTATGATAGAAAACGCGAGAAAGAATCTGAGATCTCACAGAGATTGAATGGAGCTTGTCCTCGTCGTCGTCTTCGATCTGATTGTGCCTTGTCGGATCCTTGCAAGCCCGATTTTGTGAACAATTACTGGTCCGTGATATTGTAGTCTTATTATATATATACACACAGACAGTAAGAAGCCATTTTTAACATCCTGCTATCAGTAAATATTTTTAATTGGTCAAGAAATTGAGGTAATAGTAATACTCCGTCTGTGTCAGCGGCTCTTGACCTGATTTTTTGTTATTACTCGTTAGCTTTCCTTCGCTTAGGACGTTGTCGAATTGGTTGGCATGAGAATTATTTACGGCCCAGACAGATATTTTGGGCCAATGGGCTTTCCCTTCGGTGCAGGCCCAATAAGGGGGGAGATCGAAATTCCACCATTTTCAACATCTCTATCCATTTTTGTTCGGTGCGAATATATCAGATACAATTTAGATATAGATTTTTTTTATGCCCAATTCTAGATGGTACTTTGTGCGGGATTCAAACCGAAAATAATCTGCAAATAATAAATATACAAGAAGATATATATGTACATATATATATTTCCTGGAAACGAGTCGAATGATCAAGATTCTGGAAACCCATTTTTGAGTTTTCAACGAATTGAAGAATGATGAATGATCTTCCGTTTATTACATCTGAAAAATTAAAACTGAACAAAAATTCCAGAGATGGAGTATTAAACCAGTAATAAACCACATCGCATGTGTCTTCCTTCCAACTTCTGAATTTTTCTGAACAATTCCCGTTTGCTCCATCCAATGATAATGATGATGATGATGATGATGGTCATTGATCATGGAGATGAGAAGAGCTTTGACTTGACAAGATCAATAGCCCACAGCCATTCATTTATGACTCTGTCGTGCAATCCATTTCTCAGAACCTGAGGGAAGAACAGCCAAACACCGGTCACGCTCACGAACCCCAGAGTGATCGGACCGGAGACCGACCGGTGCAACCGCCACCGGACTACCCTTCTCTTGACCAGTATTTCCGCCGCAGTGCAGAACCCATTTAGCACGAAGAACAAAGTGACCTCCCATGTCGGTGGCAAACGGATCATATAAAAGTATATCAGTTCATGCATAAGGCCTGAGACAAGGAACGATGCCACGACACCCAGCAGAACAGACCACATGGGCCCCACTACTCGAACCGAAGCGCGTTGAACAGGGACGTGGACGGTGGGCCGAAGGACGGCAGGGACCATGAGGTTCCATCTCCGGCTCCAGAAGTCCTGGAGAGAGGTGGCTAAGTAGGGTTCGTTGAACACTGGCTCGATCTCGCACCCAAGAAAGGACGATACGGTTGATCCAACGAACACTAGAACGAGTTCAATCTCGAGGTAAGTGTGCAGGCAATAGATAGCCAAGACTACGAACCTGGGCAAATTCTCCGTGTGATCATATACACGCAACAAGATTCCAAAGATCACAACTTTCACAGCCAAAACCCATCTGGGCATGGATTTCTTTGAAGGATCAAGATTGGAGATCCCATCGGAAGAAGGGTTTTGACCAGGTGGGTTTTGCTTGGGCTTGATCGGGAGACATGCGAAACAGATGAAACGGGAGAGGCTTAGGGATGGCGAAGACAAAGGTCCAAGATCAAAGGCGAAGAGGAGAAGCCTGAAGTTGGCGAGCCAGGCGAGGAAAAAGGCGGTGATGCCGCAGAAATGGACAGAGGATAGAAACAGAGGAATAGCAAGAAACAGAGAGCAAACCGGAAGAACAGAGAGAAGCCGAGGAACACCGCTGGGGAATCTCGAAGATCCGTAATAACAGTAAGATATGGAGATTAGGGCTGAAACCCATACCTTGACTAAGTTCTTTAGTTCTCCGTCCATGCCTCAGATCTGGGTTTCTTGCTAAATGCGTACACGCTGACTCGGTCACTGGTTCTGCCATAAAAATATATATAGCCACAGAAATAATATAAAGAATGAATGCCATTACTATAATATTTTAAATCCAATAGAAACACTGGAGAGAGGATTCAGACATTGAACAAAAAATACGTGTGCTGATACTGACGGCGAAGTCCAGCCGACAACGAGCAAGTTGTTTCCGAGACTCTAAACCGGTGAACGGATTGTTCGAGTCACGAGTCAATGAAGGAAGAGGCCATAGCCATGGAAGACATGGACAGGACGCACTCACGTCGTGCAGCTACACCAGAGGGCCGTGCTGCTTCAGTTCCATGCAAAATGCATCTGGTGGGGCTGAACGTTGAAAGAAAAGGAAGTGACAGAGCAGCTCAAGGAAGATAGATAATAAAGACATTACCAAAAAAAGATAGATAATAAAGAGAGTGGGTATCTGCTGATTTCGACGGCGACAATGGCGGCGTTAACGACGACTAGATTTCACCGGCAAGTGTGGTCGGACTGTCGGAGAATAACCATTGACCACCGGGAAATCTGAGGGGATTGGTTTTTTTTTTCCAAAAACATAAATGGAGATGCGGGGTATCGATCCCCGTACCTCTCGCATGCTAAGCGAGCGCTCTACCATCTGAGCTACATCCCCATGGCCGTACTATGTAGTTCTATTAAAATAATAACAAAAACAAAAAAGCTGCCCAGTAAACCAGAAGTGAAGGTACGAATATGCTTCCTCTCGATCGCTGCATATTCTTGAAATTGCAAAAAATTGATGGCATTACTGTTAGCAGAACCTTATCGAACCCTAATGTATGTAAACTCTGATTGGATCAATTGTTTCGATGGGTTGAGCAGGCTTAACTCGGACCGAGGGGAGTAATCGGAAACGCCCATGAAGTGTTTGGCGAAATGTCTCACTGAAAGTTTTGTCATTTCCCTTTGAGATGTCAAAGTAGTATCACTAAGTAGCCTTGTTTCCATGTTTTCTGTTTCTTCTCGTATGATCTTTCTGAGTTCATGGGTTAATGGGCATTTTGCATGGAGGGAGCATATCGCCATTGTCGGATCTTGGAGTTCATACATACCGGTATTTCATTCATCGCTCCAATCTCTGTTGTGATTAGCAAAGATGGTGCTTCAACTGGCATGTGAACTTCAACAGCTATTTGGTTCCTCTGGATTTCGAACTCTTCAGTAGTGTGTCATATCGTTTGATGCTTCGACTAATTTGACCGTTAATTCTTCCTTAAGAATCAGAGGTTCTGTATTCATCAGCTGACCATTATATAGTGATTTCGTCAAGCCCGCAAAGATTTCATCAAGGGACGACGCCTTAGGCAGAAACATTGCAAGCGATTTCGGATTCAAACTGTAAGCATCTACTTCACCAACCAGGTAACTTTCTAATTCATGTTTCCAAAGCAAAAGTTTCTTCTTGCAAACGTGTCTTATGAGTTATTCATCTCCACAGATCATGCTCAATACGACCTTACATTAATTAAGGATATGCCTAATTTACGAACCCTTCTTCTGAGTTCCACTCCTCCATGAAGTGCTGAGCTTTTTCACCCGACGCATGGTGGGGGTGGGGGTGGCGGCGGGTATCTTGCCCCTTGACCATACTCTGGTGGCGGTGCTTGTCTTTTTGCCCCTCGACCATGCGGTGGTGGTGGTCCTGGTCTTTTGGCTCGAGCACCACCATGCCGTGAACGACTGCGTCTAACCTGGATCTTGGTTTCTTCAATGTGTTGTTTCTGAATCTCTTCCATTTCTTCAGCCGATAAACAAGCCATAGATAAGTTTATAATTCTGAGAAAAAAATTTCTGTCATGTGAAGAACAAGAAACTTACTTGTGATAGGGTATTCATACTCATGGAGCCTGGCAGCGGATGTTCTTGATGCAAAGAACGTTAGGAGAATCAATGTGATTACCCTCACAATCTGCCAACTCATTTTTTTTCTTGTTTTTTTTTTATATTTCTCTGGTAACATGAATGGAATTCAGAGGGTTTTTTTTGACATTTTTGAATGCATGTTTATGAATCTTTATGAAGAGGATGAGTTTGGGTTACGACCTGAACCACCGTGTGTAATAAATTTGTATATATATATATATATATATATATATATATGATATGTTATTTATTGTATGCTATATTCGTCAACACGAGTTGATTCCAATAATTTGTAGGATTTGAATAATTGGATAATCCATGCGGATTGGTTGAGCATTGACTCTCGACGCGTCGATCGTTGAAAAGTAGACATCAGTACCAACATTTTTTAATAGTAACTAGTTTAGTACCCGCGCATCGCGCGGGTTATTTCTTTTTTAATTATAAAATTAGTTAAAATTAATATTAAAAATAATATAGATTATTTATTTGATAAAAAATATATATATATAATTTAATTATTGTAATTTTATATAATGAATCTAAAGAAGTAAAACTGTAAAGAAATATGAGTATCGTTTTCTATACGCATAGGCATTATTATTTGTTTGATTTAGAATTAATATTATCATAAAATTAAATTATTGTAAAATACGTATTTAAAGAAGTAAAAAAGTGAAAAAAATATGAATATCCTTTTGTAAACGGTTTTATAAAACCGATGATATATTATGAATGCCCTATTGTTGATTTGTTTTCTTTAATTTTTATAAAAATTTAATTTAGTTATAAGATAATACTAAAAATCATATTATTAAATATTATAGTTATCTTTTATTTTATAGTTTGTATTTTTAATATTTTTATTTTTTATGAATATGTCTATATATATTATTTATTTTTTTAGTTGAGTATGAGTCTTTTGTTAATTTGACTGTATAGTTTTGGTAGTCTGTTCTGTTGACCTTATGTATAAATTTTTATAATTTTATTTCTACTTTTAAATCTCTATGATAAATATCTCATTTTTACACCATTGATCTGAATTGGAATATAAAGAAAGTAAACAATTACAAAATCACTCTTGAAAAATTATAAATTTAATTTTTTAACGTAACTTTTTTTTCGTTTTGCTTGCAATCAACGTAAAGGTTTGTCAGTTTAAATTCCACAGCACGTAGACTTCTGCGCATCCTAGCCGGATTCAGCTTCCTAGCAAACCAAATACCAATTCAGATTTTATTAAGGAAAAACGGAGACGAAGTAAAATCGACGGAGACAGAATTGACATAGCCGTCGAGACGTCGGAGAATCGACGGACGTTAGATTTGTCGGAGAGACTATCTGGGATTGAGAAGAGACTGTCATAAATACCGTTTCTTCTTTTAATTTTGTACTCTACTAAATATTAATGAGCATTATAATATACATATAATTTAATTGTACCGATTAATCATCTAAGAAGTAATATTAATTATGTTTTTAATTAAAAAAAGTATACCTTTTTTCTTTGATCCAATGATTTTTTTTAACAAAAAGCAAAACACCTCATTTGATGTGCCGAAATACAATATATATAACAACAATAGGTATTAAAAAATAATAATAATAATAATAAGAGAGCTACATGAGTTCACTTACGTGTATATATTGTCAGAACGACTAAAAAGGAAGTAGCTACGATACTTGCATGTCGCTAGACATTCTAAGAATAGTCTCCATGTGTCGTTTGAGATTCAAATACCTCGTGAAGTTGTACTCTTCTGCGTCCAAGAGTTCCTCCGAGTATGTTCTTTACAGTTTGGAGTTTCGTCTTTCTTTTAGCCCATCTAAATTGCTCCTGTCTCCCCTTAGAATCTGCAGTACCTGCAATATACACAACGATGTCGTAAATACAAGGCGCCAAACCTGCGCGAGATAAATAAAGAAGTTGAGGTCCGGCGAGTTTAGGAGAATGACTTACATTTACTTTAATAATAATTATGGCGTAGTGGGGTAACCGTTTTTTTATTTTATTAGAGAATCCAAATGCGTTTTCCCACAATTTTTGGTTTATACTTTTAAAATATATTTATTAATATATTTTGATATTGATGTGACATGATACCGTTTTTTTAATAAGTAGTGGGCTAATATTTATTATTTATTATTTATTATTTATATATTCTTATATTTATGTGTGTACGTTTTATCACTCTATTAGTGGGTATATTTATTTATAGTTTGATATTAATGTGACCGTTTTGTTAGAATTAGTGGACTAATCTTTATTATTTATATTATGTGTCCGTTTTATCATTTTATTAGTAGGCTAAATAATTATATTTTATTAGAAGAGTTTATCTTTTAATTAAAAATCAATAAAAATTAAATAAAATGCCAACTTTATATATAGTGATTTTTGTTGATATAAAATCATCAATGTAACAATTAAAATTTAAATATAATATATAAACTAATGATAAATCATCTTAAATTTTTTATGTTATATATGTTATTTATATTAAGATAAAATCAGCAAGTACATTTATCTCCACTCTTTTTATTATTTATTCAATGTTTTTTTTACAACTATTATTGAATTATGTATATCGATAGAAGATATTTTTTTACTACTCATTAATCATATTAATTTATGCAGTTAATGAGTTTATAAATGATAAATAAAAATTAAAAATAAAATGTCACATGGATGATGAAGTGGATCCTAGGTGTCCTCACCATATTCCTTCAAATCAAACTTTTATATATATAGACTAGGAGAGATCCGCGCGATGCGCGGGTTATACATTTAAAATATATATTAATTATTTTTTATAAAATGTATTAATATGAATATTGTTAAAAAATGATATACATTATTAATTGAATATATAAAAAATATATTGATTAAATTAAATTATTATACAATCATCGTTATACATTAGATTGTTATATTGCATGTCGAAGTATTATAGACGTTTAATGAGATTTTGAATTTTAAGTGAGTTATTCTGTCACTGAATAAAACCAATGTTCAATACATGACGATATCACAGAGAATATGATCATTTGCACTATCGTATCTTTGAAATTATTGTTCTTTTAAAAAAAAAATCTCGTTCAACATATGTTCTATACAGTAGAATCCATAACTGCATCGTACACTATTTTTTTCATTCAAATAGTCAAATAGTTTCAAATGCTTTTCGTTCTTTCATAGTTGATAAAACTACAATTTCTCTATCAACTGAGCGTGTTCAAATTCTCTATCAATTTCTCTTTCTTACATAGTTGTTAAAACTACAATTTTTCTTTCTTTCATAGTTTCAGATGCTTTTCTTTCTTTAATAGCATTGTATAAACTGTGTATGAGATCGATATTAATGATTCATTTTTAAAAAAAATAGTTCTATGGTAATATTAAAAATAATGTGATAAAATATTATAGTTATCGTTTGCTTTAAAAATAGTTAAATTTACGTATTTGTAATTTAATGATTAATTTAAATTTAAAAAAATAAAAATATAATACATATGAATATATTAATAAATAATAAAAATATATAAAATATAATATATATATATATATGCATATGGTAATGATGAAATGATTTTTTATGTTTAGTTTATATATATATATATACATACCATGACCTCAGTTTTATATATATATATATATTTATTTATTTATTTATGTTTAGTTTTTAATTGGAATATTTTTCACATAGTAATGATGAAATGATTTTTTTTTCAATAGAGCAATGACATGTTATTGAATATATTAAATAATTAAAGTTGCTATAGCGAATATAGATTTACAGTAAATTTTAGAAAGTTTATATATTTTGTAGAATTTGCAAACTTCATGTATTTTATGGTAAAATAATATTTGTATATATAAACAATCAATTAAAGAAAATCATTTACCAACAACGATTGGTCTAAGTGGTAAGCGACTTGGATTCGCTTAAGCATGGCTCGTGTTCGAGACTTGACATATGCAGACACTTCTGTTGGAAGACTCACCCACCATAACCAGGTGCGCGACCGGGGTCAGGTCCGGATTAGTCGGAGTGAAGCTCCGGATACTGGGCGGACAACAAAAAAAAAATCATTCGTTTATAAAACTGAATATTCGTATTGGGATTGAACTTACTTCCTCCTAGGAAAAACATGTAGAACTTTTACTCATAATAAAATTGAGGATACCCTAGTTCTCGCATAAAGAGACAAAAAAATTAACATAACGTATAAGTAATTCATTGAAATAAAAAAACATAGAACAATGATTATGAGATACTAAATTCTGCTAGCATAAGAGATTTAAATATAAATATCACCAAAACTGTTGTAAGATGTATAGAGCAAGTTCAATTGGAGCATTTGCACAGGCCATACAAGTATGTTGGACCCTTTTTTTTTAAAAAAAAATTATTATATTTATAATTTAAAAATAGTATTTAATAAAAATTAAGATAACAAATATTTTAGCAGGTTGTTTATTTCAGTTAATAAATATTTTTTATAACACTCTCCAAAATGAGGTGGACCCTATATTTAAAAAACAGTTTTTTAAAATAAATTTATAGTTTAAAATAATATTTAACATTAAATTAAATTTATTTAAAAAAAATTGTTTTTTATATTATACCATTCATTTAAGTTTTAAACATTTTTAGTATCAACAAAAATGTTTTACATATATAGTGGTCACCGCCGTTTGTAGGAAACAGTGAATAGTATATATAAAATACACATTGTCATCATAATGAATTGTATAAGTTTTAAACATTTTTCTACATTAGTGAAGTTGGTGAATGAATGATTCGTTTTTATATCCCAATGATTTCGTCTTTCTTGGTATGTAACTTGTTTTCCACCGTACGTGTGACTAATATTATATGTTATATACTTACATGCACATACATATACATATACACATACATAAGTACATATGTGGGTGAGTGAATGTATAGGCGAATGAAAATCCAAACTTCCAAAAAATTGTAACATGAAAAGAAGATAACTCCATGGAAACCAAGGTTCCATGCACATGGCTTTGAAAGTAAAAATTATTTTAAATATATACATATACATAACTATATACATGTGCATATACATACGCAAATAGATCTATATATATGTATGTATATATACATACATACACATCCATATAAATGTGCATACAAACACATAT